GGGGGGATCTTGTATCGTGACTCTTACGTAGTCTTTCTTGTGACTCTCTTTTTATTAGATCATCTTCTCTGCTCTGTTGGAGGATGGTCCAAAGACACAACACATAATTTAGCCTTGGAGAACACATCCATCCTCTTCCTCCACTTTCCTCACATATATGTACTTACTTCAGCTCTTTGGACTTTATCATTGACCCACTTTTGGAGAAGGAAACTTTCTTTTACTTGTCATTTACAGTCTTCATAAAAATATTGATCTATAGATTTTAAATCATAAAATTTGTTTTTCGAAAGTAAAGACTTCATACTTTTCTCGCTCACATGACAAAGCCTACGGTGTTGGACCTGCATCAACCTTTGTTTTTGCCACATCAATAGATTTTGTTATCTCATTGATCAGGTAAAGATTGTCTTCAATATTGCCCCTAGCCATCACCATCTCTTTTCACCTTCTATGAATCATCTGTGAAAGTAGTCACAAACCCTGACCTTGCAAACTGGCTCACTGAGATCAAAATTCTCTTCAAGCTTGGAACATGTGTAACTTCACTGACTTTTCAGACTATTCAATTTGGTAATCTGATATCAACATCACCCTTTCTTACAATACTGCAAGCTTTATTATCACCCAAATGCACCTTTCCTAGATTGGTCTGAGTTTTGTTTTTAAGCACTCTTTGTTGAGGTAAGCATAAAAAAAAAAAAATTGAATCTACTATCCAAGATTCAGTATTGTCTCAGGATAAAATTATATAATCACATTAGATTTCATCTGTGGAGACACTTTTAAATGGGTTCTATCTTGACCACCACCATCAGCCTTCTTCGAAGGTTTATAGTCCTTAGTGACATTTCTTCTCACATTTTAGCATTCACTTTTGTCATTTTCTATTTCTGACTTAGACTTTCCTCTTCTAAACTTGGATATGACTTTGCCTGCATTTGAATCCATATTTCTTTCTCTATTTTCAACATATAACACAATTTTAACTTTCATCGCCCACTTTCTTGTGAACTTCCTCAGCACTAACCCCACGATGTTATCAAAGTTTAACTTTATATTAATCGAAGAGTTACCACTGTGAACAGTCCATCTCAACTGTCTAGCAATGATGGTAGAATTAAAAACGCTCTGACTTCATCATCGAACTTGATGCTCACAGAACACAAATGGTTTGTCATAGTGTTAAAATTATTCAAATGTTCAACCACCAAACTACCTTCATCGTCTTCATGTTGAATAATCTTTTCATCAGAAAAACCTTATTTGATGCTAATGGCTTGTCATACATCTTTGTCAATGCTGCCACCTTGAGATTCATCGTAGTATTCTCATTAACCATGTTGAAAATAATATATGATGAAAGTGAAAGAAATATCAAACATAATGTTGTTCGTTCAAGCATTTCCCATTCTTTCATTTGGTTTTTCATTTGGTCTATCTTTTTTTTTTTGACGAACTGACCAATCAGGCTAACCTAGATGGCCTCTTTGACAATCTTTGTGACTATCAAAATGCAAAAAGCTATGTCCAATCAACATATGTCACATCTTCATTTATGAGTCACCTGACAAACACATCATGGTCTTTTCATCGAGACATCATGAATAGATTTTATACGACACAACTTGTATTTTAATATTTTCTTGAAAGATGTATATTAGGGGGGAAGAGGAAACCGGAGAGAGGATCGAGTTTCCAAGTATTTTTTGGGGAATCTTGCGTCGTGACTCTCACCAAACCTTTCCTGCCCCCTCTTCTCATCAAATCATCTTCTCCGCTCCGTTGGAGGAGGGTCGAAAAACAGAACACATAATTCAGGCCTGGAAAATACTATTCCTCTTCCTTCCTCGCAAAGGTCTCTTCCTAGTTATGTGAACTCACGAACAACACAGGAGACAACATCCTAGGATTCAATGCTTTTAAAAATTAAAATGAGAATCATTTTTAGGTGGAGGAACAAAGCCACTAAAAGATTTATTTTTATCAGAAGGAATGTTCTCTTATGAAGATTATCTGATAATTTTAATTGAAAGAGTAAGATAATAGTTATTAAACATTATTAAAGGAGTGTAAAGAAAATTAATAGATTAAATACTTATTTAGGATAAGATGATGGAACTTAAGATTGAGATGTTATTAATCTTCTAAGTAGGGCTGTAAACGAGCCGAGCTTGAGCGAGCTCAGGCTGGGCTCGTGTTCGGTTTATTCGAAATTGTTTGCGTTCGAAATTGACTCGTGTTCGAAATCGACTCGTGTTCGAAACCGGCTCGTGAACAGTGTGTCCGTGTTCGGCTCGATGTAAATATTTGTGTTCGTGTTCGACTCGTGTTCGACTCGAAATTGACTCGTTAAAATTAAACTGAAAAAATAGATGTAGAGTGTTGGGTTCGAACCTAGACCAAATGTATGCAAAAGAATGCGCATAACCACATTACCACACAAGCAGTTACGTTTTAAACTTAGATATAAATATTTTTTTATGTCGAGCTAAAACGAGCCGAACACGAGTGAACAAAGAGCTGTTCATGTTCGGCTCGCTTACTTAATGTATCTCGTTTACTTAATGAACGAGTCGAACACGAGCTACTTAACGAGCCGAACATGAGCTGTTCGCGAACAACGAGCATTTTTGACAGCCCTACTTCCAAGGCAGTTTATTTAGAGTGAAAAATTAGAATTCTATGGCTGAACCAAGTTTTAAGTGTTATAAGATGATCAATTTAGATAAAAATATCGATAAAAACGTTCTAGAAAAATTTTGAAGTAGATCATAAAAAAACAGAGAGATTTGGCGGTGGAGCGAGGAGTTTCAAAACAGCACAAGGAAAAAAATGATGTGGTCATAATGATTAGAATTAAGCTAGCAGTTTGCAAAAAAGATAATTAGTAAAGCAAAGGTAATCATTGATGATTGTATGATGAGCGTCTTGTAGTATTAAATGTACTTGTGGTGTGACCTGGGATTTGTTAATCATGGTAGGTTTACATGATCATCATAAATTTTGATTATGGAGATGCTTTTATGGTATATTTGAACCGAGGTACCTTGATTTATGCTTCTTGCAAATGGCATAGTTTTAATGGGTGTACTTTTGTTGAAGTATGTGAAATACGGGAACAACTTTTAAAATTTTGGAAGGTAAATGGTGATGAGGCCTAAAAGTATGACTTATTTTTCCATGGATATTTAAGTTATGTTTTTGTCATTTAGATATTATTTTGTTAAGGTTATTATAGTTTTCCACTACACTTGATAAAAAATTGTCAGCTACTGGTTAACAAATTATTAGTGTTTAGTAATTTATTAATAGCTTAGTAATTAAGAAAATATGAGACATGTTTATTATTTTTTTCATTACTGGTTCTTGAATGAGGCCTTGTTCTGAAAATATTTTGCAATTTAGTTGCCGTTTGAGAGGATAGATTTATTACTGTAACTCCTGTAGTTTTGGAAGATTAGGTGTGCTTTTACTTGGATTTGTCTTCCCTCTTCGTTTATGTCGCCATGCACACTTTCTCTTGCAGATTAAACCTGGCATCTCCAATATGCAACATGTTCAATCTACTTGTATGTGCCATTTGCCAGGTCATGATGAATCCTGGTGAGGGTTTTCCTGTTCATTCAGGTTCATTAAAATCTGCAGAAGTTTATTTGTGGGAGGGCCCGTTACTTTGCCAGAGCTGCCAGTTTAAGAAAGAAGCCATGGAAGGAAAAAGACCTTCAAGAAGTAAACTACTAGATATGTTTTTTCTTTTTTTTTTGCCAAGTCATTATGTTTTGAATAGAAATTGATTAAAATTTTTTGTTCCTTTTCTTTTTCTCTTCAAAATTTCAGATTTGTGTAGAAAGCCAAATGAAACTGAATATTATTAGATCTCCTTCAGTAGTTTTGGTGGACTTCCATGTATATTGATTTTAGCAGTCCAGACAGAGTTTGTACGCCAAGATCAAAGATCTTCCCTCTCACTCCGAAGTAACATCGGAAATTTTTGTCCGACTAATAAGTGCTCAGAGTCGATCAGAGGAGGTATTCCATTAATATGTAATTCTCATTTTATGGTACAGAATGACAAACATTGCATTTATTCAATCCTGCAATTTCGGTCCATTGATCAAGCAATTTTCTGCATTCCTTTGTGAAACAAAGCTACGACTAATAGATTGTTTTAGGTTCGCCATGTATATGTTCCATCATAGAGGAAGATAGCAGGTTAATATGTATTATAATCTTAGAATTATAGGTAACACCTTACAGCCTAAATAAGCTTCAAACCAATCGAGTTATACATTTTCACTAATGTCTTTATTTTTGCTTTGTAATTATAAATTGTTGCGATGTAACTGTTGAGATCAATAGGACATACTTTAAGAAGCTTTTGCGCAGTTTATTTGTCATGTTTGTGTGTTTTAATGAATATTTTTTCATCCATTCAAACAGGCTATACTGCTACTTTTTTAAATCTTATTTATTTTAGTCTTTTATGTTTGCGGCTAATAAACCCAGAAAATTGTCATATTCCATTAATATATTGGGAAACATTGAATAAAAATGTTTTGTTGGGCTTGTAGATCATTGATCTGTATCTAATGTCCCATTAGAGAGGTTATATTTGTTTTTTGCAAGTAATAATACACAATTTATTCTTAGTAAGCTCAGCAAAAATGTGTAGGGAGCTCCATGAACAAGAGTTCATTAGGAATGCAGGACAATCAATCAAAATAACTTGTCAATCAAGAAATATGTAGATTTTGCCTTTGAATTATTGCACAAACTATTATAATTTACATTTTTATTTATACATCGAATGTTTTTAACAAATTATTATGTGGGTTTGATTAAATTTTTTGTATTTCTAATGAATTTTACTTCTAGGAGCATCTCATATAGTTGTATTCCTAATTAAAGCTTCTCCAGTTACCCTTTTCGTATAAAGCGTGCGCTGATTTTGCTGGCAGAATGCTTAATAGGATATGATTGATGATAGTTTAGTTCTCTATTCTTATAAGGATTGCATTTCTTTCGAAAATCAGAATTTTTATATTCAATAATATTTATATAAAATTTTATTTTGCATTGCCTAATTTATTTGTTGAATACCTTTGGGACATGGATCCGTATAATTCGTGAACACATACAATCCGAGAGAAACATTGAGGAAGGAGTGGGAAGTTGAGGGACTTTTAGAGAGAGAGAGAGAGAGAGAGAGAGAGAGAGATAGATAATCATAGGGTTTTTATGGAGTCTATGTACCTGTACAGGGTTTACCAAATAAAACAAAATTAAATTATAGGCTATGTAGTAGCCCGAGCAAACTCATTATTGACTATCGTTGGTGTGGCTTGTCATACTGTTAATAAATGAAAATATGTATGTTGGCAGACTGGAGTTCTCTTTCTTTTACCTCGAAGAATTAACCGTCGAGCATGGTGATGTAGCAAGGTAGTTGTCGATGGGTTTGATGAGAATGTTCAACCAGCTTGTGAGAGTTTGGAAAAACAAATCGGGCAGTGTGGGCGAATTTGACTAGAAGAGCTCGCTTGAAGATTAAAGTCAGATAGACTAGTTCTGAGGAACTCACATGTATGCTGACGTACTTCAGAGATAATCGCAGAATCTTTTTGAACGGCAAGGGGCTCTACACATTGTCACTTCCAAAAGTACGACTAATTAGTACGATTGATCGGGTTGACGCCAGAGTATTAATGCACAATTGATGGGTTCGATCCGTTAAGCCCATGAGGCTCACTTAGTATTTGAGTTTTCTTATTCCTTAAAAAAACTAATTTTTGGATACACACTTAGTTCTTTGATTCTTTTTTGCTTTTCGACAGAATACTGTGAGAAGAGTGAGAGAATGGAAGAATAAGAGAATAAGTAATCCCTATTCATGCCTAGAGAGATGAGATGATCATAACAGACGTTCTACCCTAACTAGTTTGTCCTGGGATGTTGGCTAATTTAAAGTTTGAATTGGCTTGAAGACGAGTTAGGTAGGGAAGATACTAGCTCTCACTCTAGAGTTCTCTATTCTCTTTCCAACTGGGGGCTAACATCTCGTATCAAAACCTAAAACTATAAATCAAATTGGGGGCTTCAACCTGCTACTCTAAAGTCCTCTAATTCTACACCCTTTAAAGTTTATTTCCTTATTTATTTGCACTCAATCATATGAATTACATTCTCATCCATACAATCTCATGTGATTCTTACCATTTGTTGATTGAGACAATACCATCTCGGATCATACATGTTCTCACAAAGTTTATAATCATCAAAACTTATTCCAACATTAAAGATTAATACGTCACACAAATTTCATCCAATACTTAATCACTTATCATTTTAAGGAAAAAGATAATGAAAACTACTCAGAATTCATGGAGAAAACACTACCACACTTAAGTTTGATACCACACTTAAGTTTAAGTTTGAAAGTAGAAATCATGCAAACAAACAAGAAGTCTAAATTAAAATCAAATGCAGTCACAAAGATAAAAACTTATCTCAAATCCTCTCCACCAAAATCTTTAAGTTCCTTTGAATCTCTTCCTTCACTTACAATACAAACTGCGACATATAATAAAAATAAAAAGGGGACGTGGTGTGTGGCTATGGACGTCGACGACATGTGTGGTTGACTTGAAGAGGTTTATGATCTCTCGGTTCTTCAATCCAAGTCTTCTTTTATAATTTTCCAAAAGGCGCCTAAGTGTCTCTTCAAAATGTGTTAACATTCAATGAATCTTTCAGGAGTTGCCTCCTTTCAAAAGCCAATTGAATTTATATTCAGTAGTTGCCTCCTTTCAAAAGCCAATTGAATTTATATTCATGTCCATGAACTATTTCCCACGTTTTCACCAAGGGTTGCTTCCAATATCTCTTCAAAAATTCGTCCTTAAATTCATTGAATCACCAAGTAACTACTTCTATCGCTTAAGCGCGAGGTACTGGGCGCTTAGGCGCGACCTTCTTTGTTTTATTGTCGTGTAAGTGCCAGTTCTGGGTGCTCAGGCTCCACAGTTCTTTTGCATACCTTCTTCTTTTTTGCTCCAAATTTGATCTTTTTTCACTCTTTTCATCATTTTTCATCCATTTGATTGTACCTGAAAGAAAAACACACAAATATCTTTCATTAAAGTGCAATATCTCAAAAATAGGTATAAAAATGTGTATATAAATACTATATATTTTAGGTGTATCATTAAGCATGTTTAATAGGAAAGTTAAACTTGATGATGACATTGATCAACTGTCACTCAAATCTTTCAAAACCAAAATAAGTAGATTATGTAAATGAGTTTCGTTAGGATATTCTAAAATTTTGATCTAGAAATATATTAGTCAAATTTAGAAAAAAAAATATTAGTACATGAGACCAACTTAGAGTTTATAAATTTTGAATGCAAAGAAGTCTGAAAATATGAGTTTCTATCTAGTTCAGAAGTATTGTAAATTCTTCAAATATAGAGTTTAGACATTTATTTTCTTTACTTAAAAATTTTTATTAGGAATAATTATACTTACATATTCTTAAGCTTAAAAGTTTCTCAAGTTTTATACTTTAAGAAAATTAGATGTTGAATTAATTTTTGATTAGGCATTACTTCTCAAGTTTATCCCTTTTTCAACTCTTTTATTTATTTTTTTTATTTTTTATTTCTTATTTTTTGGATGAAAATTATTATATCTGGATAGACTTTTAATGATTTTGAATTCCATTTCTCATTTCCTAAAGCAAAGTTTTGATATAAATCTTTTACTTAAAAACATAATAATGGTTTTAAAAATTATTTTTAATAAAAAAAATTTAAGTATTGAAAATAAAAGTCTAACTCTTCTAAACTTTTCAAAAATACAATTTCTCCTACTAAAGATAGTTACACTATATTTATCATTTCCACACTAACAAATTTTAATCTTAAGTTTTTCTTCATTTCTATAGGTTTCAACTAAATTCTCTTACTTATTTCATATTCAAAATGTTACTTCCCTAATATAACTTCATATATATAATCATTTTTTTTTCTTTTCAAATCAAATTCACTTGTAGTACATTTGAGAATAAATAAAATTCAACTTTTGAAAATATTTTTAATTCTCCCCCAAAACTTAAATTTTTAACAGATTAGACAGTTTAGCAGCAAACATAAATAAGTATGAATGAAAATTTGAAATAACATGCTTACATGAATTTTTATACCCTAATCATACAAGTATAAAATTAAAAACAGGAGTAAAAGTTTAATGGATCAAATTTTAATTTAACTCTAACATATAAAGATTCATTAGACTTCTATGCAGTGAAGGATAACATAGAAGCAAACAAACACACTAATAGACTTTCACAACTGCAACATAAAAAAAATTCCTAGAGTAAATTGAAAATTTGAAACATAAAGCCTTTAAGTGAAAGCTAATAATATTCTAAACCTTCCTAAGATTCAGGATTAAGTTCAATTCAAACTAACTAAATACACTTTACAACACAATTATCACAATTACTTTCAGAAAAACAAAATATAACTACTCATAATAACATAAATACATCACAAGGGTGTCCAACAAAACAAAACATAAACAAAAGTAGCAGTCTCAACAAGTACGACTCAAAACAAAACAATTGTACAATATAACTTTATGACAAAAAGTTCACAACAAAAAAACTAAACTACTGTACTCAGTCTAATCTTCCACCTCATCATCATCATCATCACTATCATCACTATGCCAGAAAACAATAGGCTCATATGATGGATATTTTGGATATGAAGGGAAAACTACACTTTGGTCACCTCTTATGAGGTTTTCCAAAGATGAGTGGAATTTCTCCTCAAAATCACTATGCCTTCTCATATATCCATTCATATGATTTACAAAATTCTCTAAATTTAATACCTTGTCTGCAATATAATTAATGTTATCTAACATTGTTTGCAATAAATGTGCTGCGAATCAGATCCAGAAGCCTGCCCTTATGATGTTGAAGCACGTGAGGTAGAAGCACGTGAAGTAGAGGCATTTGAACTACTAGAAAATCCACCTCTCCAGCCAAAGATCGAGTGATGTGACTAAAACTTCACATTAACACTTGTAATGGGCATTGGAGGCTGCAGTATCTCTTCCCAGCTATCGAATCTAACACGTGCATGCTCACATAATGAAAAGATCAAGGATGTGAATCCCGAACCAGCAATAGAAGAAACGACGACATAACTGGTGATAGTCTCATAAATCAGAGCTCTGATGTGAATGGGCTTGAACAACTGAATGCAATAGTTCAAGGTACCTCTATCTCGAGTAACTTTGCTGAGGTGGTTGGTTGGTAGTGGACGAGCAGAAATAAAGTAGTGCCACACCTTCGATGGGATGAGCAGAA